CTTCCTTCCTTCCTTCCTTCCTTCCTTCCTTCCTTCCTTCCTTCCTGTTTCCTTCATTTTTTTTCCTTTCTCCCCCATCATTTTCTGAGATCTTTTCAGTAACCGGACCTTCTAAAAAGATAATTCCAATCCCTGTCCTCACAAAGCCCTTCCTAGTGGATCAGAAATCACAGTATCCAGAGGAGAAAGTCAGTGGTTTAATGGAAACTTAAATAGAACAGGAAACAGTTCAGAAAATGAGGACTGTGTGAAGGAGGAGGAGGAGGAGGAAGAGGAGGAGGAGGAAGAGTAAGAGGAGGAGGAGGTCAGATTGCTGCTTCTCCTCACACCAGACACTATTTATATGAAGAATGATATGAGGACACCTGAGTAGAGTTTTCCACAGAGAGGAAATGACACCCTCTGAGTCTCTGAGGGCATGGAGGTATGTTACTTACCTCCATTAAGGTTGTATGTAGCCACAGGCATAAGCTGAGGGATGCTCACACCTGATCATGACTGGTGGCTTCTCTCTCTTCCCTGCTAGCCTCCCTCTTAACCTGCTGGCTCCTGCCCACCACTGCTGGAGTCACCATCGAATCCTTACCGTTCAAAGTGGTTGAAGGAGAAAATGTTCTTCTACGTGTTGACAATCTGCCAGAGAATCTTCTAATCTTTGCCTGGTACAGAGGGGTGACAAATGTGACGTTTGCAATTGCATTCTATTCACTGTACTATCAAGCAAGTGTGAAGGGGCCGACCCACAGCGGTAGAGAGATATTGTACGGCAACGGGTCCCTGTGGATCAAAAATGTCACCCGGAAGGACACAGGATTATACACTTTTCGAACCATCAGTAGACGTGGAGAAATTGTAACAAGTGCATCCATGTTCCTTCTCGTGTACTGTAAGTAATTCCCTGTGAACTGTGGGTTCTGGGTAGAGTCCTTCCACTAGGCACACAGAATTGTCAGGCCTGGCCTGTGTCTCCCTTTTCTTTGCATTGTGTCTCCATGTTGGGGTTCTAGAATTTAGTGTAGGACACACATGGTGGGGAATAATGTCAATTGGCCAGAATCCTTCATTTGACTTCACCTTGGAGAAACCTGTATGCATGGTGAGCAAGTCTTGGGGTTCTTAGCAGGAGACTTTCCTTGAGAAACACCTTGAGGGAAGGAAGAAGGGCCTGTGGAAGCAATGGGCATCTTACAGTGTTAAGCTCCAGTGACCCCTGGCTCCACACCTCTGTTCCAGACTCAACTCCTGATGTTCCTGAGAAGCTTTTGGCTAGGGCTGGGTCTTGACTTTTGTTTGCAGAGAAGAGTGCTTGTTAGGAGTCATGGTCTTGCTCCATGTGTAACCAAACAGTGCCCTGTGATGAGAGCCATGAGTAGGCTAGGTCTCCTGGTCCTCCCTATTGACCCAGAGGGAGCACAGCAGGGCAGATTCCCAGGCCATTAACCCATTGTCCTGATGGGCTTATGAGACTTCCAGGAAGGCCGGGGTCTCCTGAAGGGGAGGGACAGAGGACACAGGACCTCCTGGCAAGTTGTTGTCTTTTGAGGCCAGTACATTCACTCCTACAGACAAATGAGGACAGGCTCTACTGGTGTGGACAGTTCCCCAGACATGAGCTGCAGTTCTCACAGTGAAGAGTAGGCATAACTGGGAACACTAAAGGAATACTAATAAGCCTACATACCTTAATCAGGACCTCACCTTGTATCCTGGCTTTTACCTCTGTCCCCATAGACCTGGAGGTCACTGGCACAGCCTCCTCAGACCTCTTAGCTGCTTTGTATATCTGCTACCCTGCCAGGGGATCATGTTTACATTCCAGACATACATATGTTCTGGGGATGAAAGGGTGTCCTATGGGAATCACGAAGACAGGTACAACGCATCTCAGAAAGGCCAAGGAGCACATGGGTAGACCCACAACCCAGCTCAGCAGGCAGAGGAAGTGTGCACACTATTTGAAACCCTTAATGGGATGATGGAGTCCAGAGCAGTCCTTCCAAGACTCAGGTCACCTCCTCCCACAGACTCAGGCTGGGAGTTCCTGACACATCTGTTCCTGGGCCTTTCTTCTCCCTCAGAATCCTGACTGGTGACTGCAGTGGGAATGGAGCTGTCCCCTTCCCCACTCATCATGTAGCTGGTCCCTTTAGATCCCTCACAGACATCTCTGTCAGCTTCTTCCTGAGAGAAAATTCCATCTTTCCACATGACTGAGAACACAGGGTAGACTGAGTTCCCAGCTGGGTTTCTGTGTCACACAGGGAGTGCAGAGGCTCCCTCTTTGGTGCTGACTGACCCAAGATGATAACACAACAAAGGGCCACCTCTGGGTGAGCTGCTGATTTCACAGGACACAGAGATGCTCAGAAGGTTGTTGTCACTGTGTAGTCTGGAGATCTGAACCAGAAGGATTCTAGAGGAGAGGATAGGTGTATAATTCTGAGTGTGTACAGGGCAGAGAACAGTGAGTTACCTACAGGACATAGGACTCTGGAAGATGCTTTTGTCTGGGTGGAGGATGAGGGTAGGGGAGGGAAATTGGGAGCTGAGCTGGATTAAATGTGTTACAGACAGAGGACACATCAGGCTACAGCGTCCAGGGAGACCCCTCTGTACCCTCTTCAAAGGTTGTACCTCCTGTCAGGCCCTCCTGATCACGGGTGAGGAGACCACGCTCTACAGAGTGTGAGAGCAGAGGAGTCACCTACTCTCTGGAGTCTCCTCAGGAGCTCAATGACCTGAGAGGAGTCTCAGTGTTTGTAGAAGACATGGTGGGACAGAGGCTCAGCAGCATCAGGAGGCTCTTGGTGAAGAGAGGAAGTAGGGGAAGGGGAGATTGTTCTCACCCACTGTTAATCAGCTTAAGCACATTGTTCTGGAGGCTGATGTTCTCAGCTGTGAAGTCCCAATAAGAAACCAAGCTGGTGTTGATCAGTGACATGGTTCAGTGAATATTGGCATTTACTTCATTGACAGTCTGAGAACCAGTGAATACAAGTTGTCCCCTGACCTCATCCTAGAGATGGTGTCCTGCAAAACAACACACACACAGAGAAACACCCTTGACTCTCTCTCTCTCTCTCTCTCTCTCTCTCTCTCTCTCTCTCTCTCTC